AGTCCAGCTCTTCCTGGCAGAGCATCTGTGTTGATGTTTATATCATTCCCTGCTGTATGGGAAAGGCATGCTTTCTCTTGCTGCTTGGCTAAAAATAGGGTGGAATATAGCATTGTATGAGATATTTTAAGATAGCAAAAACATTTAAGAGGTTAAAGGTTCGACTTTTGGATCAGAAAAGATCAGTGATACAACTTGTGTTGTTCCTTGCAGACTGCATTTTATCTAGGGTTTGTCAGTGATTCGAACTCTTGGTTAGGCAAGTTATTCTAGTTTCATTTGGTGCAGTCTGAAAAACCCACTCTACTGTCTTTTCTGTCAGCTTCCCAGCATGAAGGGCAGGCCTGAAAACAGCCTCTATTTATACCCCCTTGTTCGTATTTGGAAAATCAGTTGTTTCACTGGAGAGGGGGGGAAAGAGAGGAGAGCACAAGCAGTTGTCAGGGAGTGTGCTTTATACGTTATCGTGACTTCAAAATAAAACTGGCACATTTTAGTGTCTAATTATTTTTAGTGAGCTTGGAGGGTTTTAATTAAAATTTAAGAGTGCTCTTCAAGCTCTCCAAGCTCCAATTTTATCCCACTGTATTCTGAAGCACTTATCATTGTGGAGATATGTACAGTAACTGGCTTGTGCATCTCTGTTTCCTAAGGAAAAATGTGGGATGGGATGATCAGCAAGGATATAAATATATATTGTCAGATTACTTGTAAACCAAGGTCAAGGGTACTTTTGACAAGTTATTATTCTTGGATACAGAGAAAAATTATTGCATTTGAAATGTATAATCCCTATGGTAAAAATAAATGAATTGTTTCAATATTTTCTTAAAAGAGTTAATAAAGCAGTAGGAAATCTGCATAGAGGAGCAGCAGCCATTGTTTTTTCTCACTAAAATACTTTAAAGATATTTTCTATATCATGTTTCTAATGGCTTAGCATTTGAGGTAAATGGAATAATAAGTGGTTACTCACAGGTCAATTGTTTTAAAGTACAATGATTTTTTCCATTTTTTTCTATTCCCTATGATTTAGTTTTAGTGATGATTTTTTTAAAAAAATCTACTCTCTTTGACCCACTTGAAATATCTTTATTTTGCGCAGAATAAGTGTTAATACGGCCTCGACTTTGTTTACTAGAAATCATTTTAAATTGTTTTTAAAATACTACACAGATTAGAAAATAAATATCCCACATACTTTCACTTTGAATTTCTCTTGTACTGTAAAATTAATTATTAGCATAAAAAGCACTCTTGACTCATATGGACTGAAACCTAGTTGATTAGGAAGCAGAAACACTGCTTTGCAATCGTTATGCAGGATATTTATGAAAAATTAGTTCTGAATTTCCTTTCCTTGTTCCCTAGGAAAAGTTTCTTTAAAAACTTAAATTTGCAAAGAAAAAGAAAAAACAAACAAACAAAAACTATGCAACTGAAAATTAATTTATAATGTATCAAAACCTTTTACATCTTTGATTTAAATATAAGGGAAATCCCAAGTCCAGCTCTTGATTTTCCATAGTCCTTTTTAAATACATTATTTACAAAAATGAGATAAATATAATAAAATTCTGTATTTTATTGACTATGTATTGGCTTTGGAGGCTAATTCTTCCAAAGTAAGAGGAATTAAATTTGATATTTTCCACTTTTATACTGAGGTGTGTAGCTTACATTCATTTTTAATATGTACATATTATGGTGACTTTTTAAAATACCATAATGTTATAGTTCTTTATCTTAGTTTCCAAAAGGTATATAGCTCCTCTCCTATGTCTTAGCTGAAGACAACTCAGTCAAAACACTGAAATTTGAATAGTCAAAGTTAGATCATGAAATAAGCTGTGTATTGTCTTATTGATTTGAGGACTATGGCACCACCATACATTTTTTAGCTCCTTTCAATTTAATCATGTAAAGCACATTTATCTGAATAAATAATCCAAGAATATCTGGGAGATGTTCAGTACCTTTCTGCCATTTGGAACCCTGACTGACTAGTGAGCTACAGCCACTCTGCATGCTCCTTCCTACTCTTACACGATGCAAACTGGAGTTCTTTACATATTTGACCTCTTAGGATTTTGCATCTGTACTTGGGGCAAAGTCTGATCTGACCAATTGCCTCTGTAAAGCTGGTGTCCTATTAATGTAGTGAAGCATGTAGTACAAGGAGATGAATACTTACTTTTAATTTCCACCCTTACCTGGATATTGTTTTGTGTGGGGAATCTTAAATTTTTAAAATATAAAATATTTAAAAATTAAAATAAGTTTTTATGTATATGTTTATTACACATTTCCTCCTTTCAAGTCAGAAACCTCTCGGTGGTGACAGTCCTCTGCTTAGGTAGTATTTGTTAACAACCTGAATTTTTTGGTTCTTTTATCCCTTCCTCTTTGGCTTTCCATTACAGTATGGAGAGAGCTTAGTACTAATTGTGGTAAGCTCTTAGAAGTTTGGCAGTCAGATAATTAGGTGAGAAGCTGGGAGTTTGTCAAGACATTTTTCAGTGTTTTGAATCTCTCTAGAATCTCTGTGCATTGAGATTAAATGCTGATAAGGTTGTATTTAGTGAGTTGTATGTCTTGTCCTATAGATAAAAGCCATCAGCAGTTGTTATTACATATTTTCATGAACTATAATAGAGATATGCAAAGGCTGCTTTATGTCCCCCCTCAGCTTCTTCTACTGAAATAGGAACTATATGGCTAGATTAATTTATCATTATAGTGAGAATTAATTTTCCAATAGGAATGTGAAATGCTTTGAAGTTATTAACCATTTTATTAATGAGTAGCTTTTATGTAAAGCTGTGTCCACATGGTTTGATTTATGTTGGAAGTGTGTGTTCCTGTTGTCCATATAGTTCTATTTTTCTCCCATGGAGTGTAAGCATTCTTTTCCTGGAGCTCAGAAAGATTTCAGGTCTATTTATAGAAATGAGAGACATATTTTTATGTTTTACATTTATTATGTTTCTAATACTAGTTTATGAACTTGCTGTGAGTTTGTGATCATTACTAGAAAATTGGGCTTTTGTCTTTTATGATTATAATATATGCTCTCAACTCAAATTTTAATCAAACAAATTATGTTTTAGCATTTGTATCAGTGATTAGCAGTTTCATGTATTGTTATAACATGTATGAAAGGGCAATAAAAAAAAGTAACAAAACTGGGTAGGATAGAAAGTTGAACATGTTGTGTTGACTATTCTTATCCATGATCTGATGTTATATCAATATATCTCAGACATTTAAACCCTATTTGCAAAATGTAATCGCTGTTAGGCATGGCTTTGAAGATTGGCTTTAAATTTTCAAGACCCAGTGTTATCTTTTTTATGACTTCAGCAAAAATACAAAATATGTATAGACCAAAGTACACATCTTGTTTCTCAATTTAAAAATAAATGTAGCAAGAAACCATTTTGGAAATTAAATACAGACTGAACATATGGGTATGCATGTAGGCCCTATTGGAAGGTCACTCAGAATACAGTTTTTAATCACAGTGGTAGGTCACTCGTTGAAGCCCAAGACAATTTTAATAGGAAAGAATGGAAAGCAAGAAGGAGGGGAGTAAAGAAGGGAAGAAGTAAAGGAAGGGGCAGGGAGCTTTCTCTTAATAGAATCAAGCTGGCTTCTATTTAGAAAGAACTTTAGCTTCTGTGATAGCGCGCTAGTACTGTTGTTCTTCATCAGGCATTTCAGGATGCACTGATCTGGATTCCATCCATTCTTTGATTGATTGATCATGTCATGGCCAAATGTTAAGTGTTTTTGCCAATACGTTCTAATTGTGCAGTAGTCTTCTCATCTCTAACCCCGGGCTCGCTGTCTTTTTCTAAAGCTTATCTAGTTTCCAAAACCCTTTAGATCCATCTTGACCTTACTGTCATTCTGAAAAATTCAAGGAGGATTTAGAAGTTGGAAGAAAAAAAAAGAAAGGAAAAAATGCTAAAGAGAAAGGTACTGATAGGGAGAGGAGAAGCATTTGGATACAGAGTAACAATTTAAATATAATTTAAAAAGAAGTTATCAGAATTTGACACTTGGAATGTTAAAGTTTAATGGGAGTATGCTTCACACTAAGGGTTTAGTATTTAAGTCTGCATTCTCTTTTGGAAATATGTCCTATTTGTTAAGATTTGAGGCTCAAAAGATACATGTAAATAGTTGCAAGCAGTAGCGTCAGTTTCAGATCCATCTGAATATAGAGATAAAAGAACACATTGAGGAAAATGTGCTAATTATTAGAATATTCTGGTTTAAATTTCTGTAACCTTTATGAATCTTTATAGAAACAAGTGTAATCACTCCCTGTGATCTAGTGTGCTACTTAGAAATGCAGCAGGGAAAAATGTTTAAATAAGTATTTTCTTGAAGAGAATATATACTTCTCTTTTTATACAAGAGAACAGTAGTAGCAGTTTTCATTATATGGACTTTATTTTCTTTGCATTTTGCTATAAATGGGTATTTTATGAAAGTTGCTGTATTTTTTTTTTTAACATGGTTACAGGTTGATTGATTTTTTTCTCTCTTTAAGAAATGTCATTCTTCTGTGAGTAGCCCATGAATTTTGCTTGGAATTAAAACATAATCACCTGAATTAAAAGGAATATTTTCTAAACTTAAACCTGTAGGAAAGGGCCCCTTTTTCTGTCTTATCAGTCTAAGAAATGCTAAATGCTGACTGAATATTGATATAATTATAATTGTAATACCAATACAAGTATATTGAGCATTATATTCTTAGGAATAGTTTAAATAATCTGGTAAAAAATTAGTTGTGTTATTTTATAATACAGTAATATAATTGTTTATATCCTAAAGTTAAAACAACAAAAAAATAGCTTTGATCATTTTTAAGTGATAGAGTTTCTTCATAAACTAGCTTTTTGGATTTTTAATATTTGTAATACTTATAAAATAATATATATATATATATGTAATATCTTGAATCCTTACTTTTTTTATTTTAACAGATTCCTCTTGCATGGAAAAACTACTATCAAAAGATTGGAAGGAAAAAATGGAAAGACTAAATACCAGTGAACTTCTTGGAGAAATTAAAGGTACAATATATGAAATATAAAATAAATCAATGTGGAGATGTTATTTTCAATAACAATACATTTTCTGATCGTCTGTACCGTAACATTAATTTCTTACTTCTAATATTTGTTCATGTATGAGAGGTAAATGTATAGTATGTCCTTGAACTTTTATCCTTTTTAATGTTTACAGAATGAAATTTTTGGCCTCTCTTTTTATTATTCTATAACATATAGATGATAGGATAAATTGTTTTTAATTTACTTAACTAAAAAGTATTAAAATAAAAAATGTCATATCAAAGATGATGAACAAATTAAATTAAATACAATTTTAGTCTTTCCTCTTAAGTCATAATGTAATAGCTTTATTTATGAATCTAAATTAATACTTTGAAAGGGTCAACTGTAGCACCTATAAAAACAGAGTTTATAGAATTTGCTGTACATAATGGTTTATGGGTGGGTTCTGAGGCCTGTATACTGGTTCAAATCCTGGCCCTGCCATTTACTAGATAATTGACTTTGGGCAAGTCACTGTCTTTTTTATGTTTTGAATTCCTAGGATCTAATAACAGTATCTACCTCATAGGCTCCTTAAGAGAATTAATACATGTAAAGCTTTTAGCATTTTACCTGGCACTTAAGAAAGGACTGATGAGAGTAAGTTTTAGTCATTGTTATTATTAACATGCCCATATGTTGATAGGTTGATTAATCTTAAACAGATTTCACAGGATTTAAAATTTCATAACCTTTTACCATGATGATGATGGATATCTTAATTGTCGAAGTTATGTGATTGATGTTATTACATGTTAAGAAGTGGACAATCCCAATCAATATATTACAGAACTAACCTAACTCTCTTGTTGATTTCTTTAAGGAAATGAAATACTGTATTATTAATTTTTGCTATCATGAATAGAATCCTAAGTCATTAATTAATTCTATAAGTTGTTCCTTACAGACAGTCATTACTGTCACTTGCACTAACAATTTGGGCAGTTTATTAGATTATGTTTCTGAATTTCCAAACAGCTTCAGGTTAATCTTCCTATTGGTCATGGATAATAAATATCTCATTTAAGGTGAATATTTGGCAATAGTTATCTGATTAAAATTTTATTTTGAATTTAGTATAGAAAATTGCCTAGGGTTCAGACATCTTATGTTCTTCTCAAATGAAGAGAAAAGGAAGTCATCTACCAATGAATAATTAATAACTCATTCCATTATCTAGTGCAGTATCAAAATCAAGTAGAAATTTAATAGTATTTTGAATTTCACTGCTTCTGCTTTTTACTTATGAAGGCCACTTGCTTGCTATTTTGGAAACAAACCTTCAACGTTTAACTGAGGGGTAGAAAGAAAGTCATTAGTGACATATTCTTTATCCAGCTGCTATAGCATGGGGTGTGCTCCTTTGCACGTCATTCTGTTTTCTTCCCTTTGAAAAGTCATTGGTTTTATAACAGTGAGAATGGAAATTGTTTATGCAAAATCAAGCTTTTGCCAGCATGAGAGATGGGGGTCTTGCTTTCTTTCAGTAATGTGGAAGCTAACATTTTATTATGTTACTAGAGGCCTGATGCACGAAATTCGTGCACAAGTTGTGTGTGTGTGTGTGTGTGTGTGTGTGTGTGTGTGTCCCTCAGCCCAGCCTGCACCCTCTCCAATCTGGGACATCCCTCTCACAATCCAGGACTCCTGGCTCCCAACCACTCGCCTGCCTGCCTGCCTGCCTGCCTGCCTGATTGCCCCTAACCACTTCTGTCTGCCAGCCTGATCACCTCCTACCCACTCCCCTGCCAGCCCAATTGCCCCTAACCGCCCTCCCCTGAAGGCCTGGTCGCCCCCAACTGCCCTCCCCTGCTGGCATGGTCACCCCTAACTGCCCTCCCTTGCCAGCCTGGTTGCCACTAACTGCCCTCCCCTGCCAGCCTGGTCGCCCCCAACTGCCCTCCCCTGCAAGCCTGATTGCCCCTAAACACTTTTGCCTGCCAGCCTGATCACCCCCTAACCACTCCCCTGCCGGCCCAATTTCCCCTAACTGCCATCCCCTGCAGGCCTGGTCACTCCCAACTGCCCTCCCCTGCTGGCCTGGTCACCACTAACTGCCCTCCCTTGCCAGCCTGGTCGCCCCTAACTGCCCTCCCCTGCAGGCCTGGTTACCCCTAACCGTCCTCCCCTGCAAGCCTGGTTGCCCCCAACTTCCCTCCCCTGCTGGCCTGGTCGTCCCCAACTGCCCTTCCCTGCTGGCCTGATTGCCCCTAACTGTCCTCCTCTGCAGGCCTGGTTGCCCCTAATTGTCCTCCCCTGCCATCCTGATTGCCCCTAACTGCCCTCCCCTGCCAGCCTGGTCACCCCTAACTGCTCTCCCCTGCTGGCCTGGTCCCCCCCAAACTTTTCTCCCCTGCAGACCTGGGTCCCTCCCAACTGACCTCCCCTGCCGGCCATCTTGTGTCCACATGGGGGCAGCCATCTTTGACCACATGGGGGTGGCCATCTTGTGTGTTGGAGTGATGGTCAATTTGCAAATTACTTTTTTATTAGATAGGATGATGAAGCATCATGTTTATAGCATCAGGTTATCTTCTCTCCCCTGCCCCCACTTCCCATTTAATTCTAATTATGAATTTAAAATATAAAAATTGTACTAGTCTCAGATATTCCAAATACATAAATCTTGAAGGTGAAACACGTTTGAAAAATTAGGGTTTTCAAATACTTTAACATTTTTCTTTCTGGATTCTATATGAGGTAAGTGAACTGTCATTTGTGTGCTACTCTCAGTTTTATGAGCATAGAAGATAAGATTCTCATTAAATTTTTCATTTTGATTTAGTCTACTTAATGGTCTCTTCTTACATCTTAATATTTTGTCACCATAAAATTATACAGAAAATATGACAATAATATAATAAAAATGAAAAAATTAAAGTAGTGTTCATAGAGTGATCCAATCACTGCTACAACTCAATGTACAGTTTTAGTCTAGGTGAGATCAGGCCAGTTATTATCCACCTAAATTAGCTATAATTATTCTGCAGTGTCAAAGTGATCTGAATACTATTTCCAAGAAACACATACTATTGTGGGTTATCAGTATTTATATATCTCAATCATTGTGGATTTTTACTAACTCACTATTTTTCTCTCATTATAAAATTTATACTTATTGTAAAAAGTATAGAAACCCAAAAGAAATTAAAATTGTCTTTTAATTCTGCTTGTATTATATTGAATATCCTTTCTATTTTAATTTATGTATATTCATGTTAAAATTTTTCTTAAAATCAGAACAACCTATTTATTCTTTTGTAGTCTGTCTTTCCCACCTAAAGATATATTGTGAATTTCCCTGTGATTAGGTCATTTTTTTTTTTTTTGCAAGAAAAATTACATAGCCCTAACTGGTTTGACTTAGTGGATAGAGCGTCGGCCTGTGGACTGACAGGTCCTGGGTTCGATTCCGGTCAAGGGCAAGTACCTTGGTTGCGGGCACATCCCCAGTGGGGGGTGTGCAGGAGGCAGCTGATCGATGTTTCTCTCTCATCGATGTTTCTGGCTTTCTATCTCTCTCCCTTCCTCTCTGTAAAAAGTCAATAAAAAATATATTTAAAGAAAAGAAAAAGAAAATTGCATAAAGTGGGGTTCTCATAATTTAGCTGAGTCTTTTACTCAATATCTCAGTTGTTTTTATCATTGGTCATTATAAAGAAAACCTTGAGCATGAATAACTTTTTAATATTTTTCAGTACTAACTAGTGACTATTTTCTTGGAATGAATATACTACTAAGAAGTGAAACTCTTGGGCCAAAGAGTTGTTCTTTCTTTAAGGGCTTTTGCTACCTATTGCCACACTGCCCTTCAGAAAGCATATAGTATTCTGTGCTCTCACTAGTAGTGTCAGCAAGTATTTTGCCCTTACCCTCAATAGCAGTTTTATTAGCTAAAAAGTTCTTGCCAGTTTGATAGAAGAAAATAACATATTATTGCTGAATTATTTTGAATTGCCTTATCATTGAGACTGAAGAGTTTTACATACATTTATTTATATTAAATATCTCTTCATTTGTGAATTGCCTATTTATGTTGTGTGCCCATTTTCCTTTAAAGGATTTGTCTAGTTATTGTGGTTTTGTAACCCTTAATGTACAGGGTGGGGCAAAATTAGATTTACAGTTGTTTATGTGGAAAACAATACAATAATTAATACATAACAATACAAGAATTAACAGTTTCGTGTGCTCATAACTGTAAACTTACTTTTGCCCTACCCTGTATATTTTAATGGTGTTAATCTTTATCTGTAATATGTTACATTTTGTTATTTTCTTTACTTTATGGTTTTGTTGTCTAGTCTTTCCCTCTTTTTTTTCTTCTTTTTTCTGTTGGGGGTTTATTTAGAATGGCTTCACCCACTTTGAGATTAGATAAAATATTTTGTGTATTTTCTTTCATTTTTTGGATTACTATACATTTAACTCTTTAATTCCTCTTGAATGTATGTTGATGTATAATTTTATATAGAGGTACAACTTAATCGTTTTTCTCAGGCAGTTAACCAAATATTTCTGTATCATTTATTAAGTAGCTCATCTTATCACTTCTGACTTGACATAACATCTTTTACTGCATACTGATTGCATATTTGAAACCATTTCTCAGTTTTTTGTTCTATTCCCATTGATCTTTTTATTTAAACTTTTGTTAGTCTTCTGCTGTATCAATCACTGTAGCTTTCCAGTATCTTAAAGTGTGGGCAGTAAGTATTACAAGATCACATTCATAATTGTTCTTTATGGTGTTTACATACTTCTCTAAAATTTATTTTAGACTTATAATTATAAGTTGTTAATTGAAATTCCAAAGTGATATCTTAAAAGATTGTATTTAAGTTTTATATAAAACTATGAGGTAAGCCGACACCTTTATAGTATTGAATCTTTCCATTCAAAATCATTTACTTAATTCTTTTATGCCCCTCAATAATATTTTGTTTTTAAAATACAGA